AATTTTCGGGCATTATTTTTTAACGGATTTGTGTTCAGTATCAGTAATATAGTTACCTCTGTAAATATGGCAAGAATGCAAAGTAACACCCTGTATAATAGATAGATACTCTACAGAACGCAATGCTAAGCCAGATTTTGACAAATAGCTCCAATTTAGCCAGGCATTGAGAAATGACTGGAAAATCCCAAAGAACAAACTAAAAAACAAATTAATAATAACAGAAATACATCATGTCGCAAATCACATCTTAATTTAGTGTATCGCTTAATTTTAGACGCGGTTATAGTATGAGATGACAGATTGATAGTGTGTGGAATTATTAGAATGTGGCTTGCATCACGAAATTATGAGAACATCAATTTGGTTTCTTGAAAAGACAACTATAGATCGTTTCATCCACGAAGACGCGTCTCACCATTCTTCCGCTAATGTTTGAATGTTATTGGTACACGATAACGCTCGGATTGCCCGGATGGATCAAACTCCCCGCACCCCGCGCTTCCCTTGACCAAAAACAATAACGGGGTAAAAAATTGCGTATTAAAGTTAGAAATTAAAAAGCTTACATATTTATTTTTCGTCCCTCGTACTCATTGTTTATTAATCATCCTATAACCTATGTTACATACCTGAATACAATTTATAGCTTATTTTCTAAAGTTGAGTAATTTTACGAGTGTTTCATATCATTTTAAAATACATTCCCAAAGTTCCCTTTATCGTGTATCATCCGTGTCGGGAAGCCATCAACTTTTTCAATTTAACTCTTTATGGCCCTAAATTCTGTCTCATGCGGAATTTAGATTGAGCTCCATGCGATTTGCTTTATGTCTGAAAGGACTTTTAGTTCAATTTTACAGAGGATGAGGATGAATGTATGGAAGTCGAGTTGGTGGGGCTTCATTTATATTTCTTTATCTTCATTTAGGTCATTTCGGTTGGGGAATATTAGTTTTACTGTCAGGATTATGTTCTGAAAAGTCATTAATAAATATGCGTCTACATGCGTATAACATAAATAGATTTCATCCTGAAATAGGTCTAAAGTATTTATCACATGAACAACAGACCCTGAGGGTGAAACTATTTGAAATTATACCATAACAGTATTATAGGAAATGTATCCTTTAAACTGAAAAACTATAAACTGAAAATCTTAATTTAACTTTGACAAACGTCAAAAATCTATCAAACTCCATACAAAAAACACCGGTTATCGTTATAGTTACGGTCAAAGTTTGGTGGTGCAACTCAGCCTTACAGTATTAAGTTAACAAGTAGGTGAGATTCAAAGATTTTTGCTACAAACAGTACTTCAATTAGAAAACAATTTGATTTATAGTTAATTTTTTCAGTGGATGATTATGACTTTAATAATGAATTATCACGGTACCAACTTGACTTTCTAGAAATTCCTTCATTTGGCGAGGAATCTGTTCTAAAGTTTGTATGACTCGCAATACATTTTACTTTGTTCAAGTAATTTCAACTGTCTTTTAAAATGGGATTGTACTTGAACAGTTTTAAGTTTAAATTGTTTTATGAATTTCCCCAAAGAATCCTTTAGTGAAATTGATTACTTTCACAATCTAAACTTTGACTCCCACTTGGGTTCTGAGTGACAAATGAGCTTCCAATGTTATAACTGTTGATGAATAGAAAGCTAAGTATACATATTTTTCAAGTAAAGAAGATAACGTTTTTCCTGAGTGTATACCTAAATATTTACCCGAATTAGGGCTGATTTTTCAATCGTCGGATAACTTTTAACTGAAGAATAAGTTTGGCACATTGACAGTTTCAGTATGGGAAATATGTCAAAATGACAAGTTTATTCTTCAGTTAAAAGATATCTGACGATTGAAAAATAATCAGTCATTAATGGAACTGAATGACGTCATATCCTCTGATAAAATCCATGGTCGAGTCACGTTTTGCTCATAAAAAGTAGGGTATAAATTCACTAGGCTGTATTTTTTGCTGTTAAATAAACCAGTACTAACAGCCTCATTCGCTGTATTCACAATTTACGAATGCAATCAAAATCTTCCAGAATTTCCCCGTTTTTCAACTCGCGCCATAATTGGACCTTTTCCATGGAAAGTTTATTTTAACGATACTTTCGTATTCGGTTCCGCCTTTTCGCGACACGTATTAAATTTTAATGATATTTTCCTGCGTGTCGAAATAATTTGAGTTTAAAGTTTGCTGGTTATTAAAGTGTAAAAATCCTAGTGAAAATGAACTTGTTCAATTAATGCAATAACTATGTTTTAATTTGAGTTTCGCGTATAATACGTTTTTATTTTACTAGTTAAAATGTTGTTTCATTGCTCTCTTTTGTTATTTTTTTATCCAATGTGTTACAATGTTCTAATATAATGTGTTTATTGTAGGTAAAGTTGTAAGAGCAGAAACAACAATATTCTATTATAAAATGTCAATTAATTATTTCTTTTAGAACGTAGGTGCTCACTAAGACGGGATTTTGGAAAATTCAACCCCTAAGGGGTAAAACGGGATCCACGTGTACGAAGTCGTGGGCAGCCGGTAGTAACTCATAAAATTTGGATTCTATACACTAATGCCAATCACCATTTACTATTATAATAGTGGGCACGCATTTTCTTTTTACTGAAGCTAAGAATATAATCTAAGAACAACACCAGAAACAGTTAGGCTATGTTCAGATAACAAGATTTTGACGCGCGTTTTCAGATCGCGCGACTAAACAGCTTAGTATTCACATACAACCGATCACATGAGCGTGCGTTAACGCACGTCAGCGAGCGTTGACGCGGAAAAGTCTCTAGACGCAGGCGATTGCGCGTTGACGCGCGCTTTGACAGCTATATAACGTCCGTTGACTGTTCAGATGAGCGCGCGCTTCCATCGCAATAGCTTCTTCCACGTCCATTTTCTAAGCTCTATCGAAACAGACTGACGAGCTCCTCGCAACGCGCGTTAGCGCTTGTCATATGAACTCTTTATAAATTTAATTCCGCGTTGACCTGCGTTAACGTGCGTTAGGCGGTTATCACACTGCGCCGCGCTCCGCCGCGGAGCGCGTGATTTCATATAAAAAATCACGCGCGCGGACACGTTGTCAGTGTGAAGTGCCGCGCGTGTTTTCCATACAAACTGAGGTACTTGCATACAATTATTAAATCTGTCGCCCCGCGCTCCACGACGGAGCGCGGCGCAGTGTGATAACCGCCTTACATATGAACAATATGAACATAGCCTAAAATACTCGTAACTCGCGACATAACTGGGCGGTATCTATCACCGTTCTAATGGAATTAACCTCCTTATGTGAGATTTGGTTACGATTATGGCCAAGACAATGTTGTCACACACTAAAGTGTTACAATCAAGGGAATTACGATCCATCTTCTCAAATTACGCATCAGGATTAAGGGTATCATCAATATTACGGATGTAGAGTCATAAGGGCCAAAGCACACGATACACGTAAAAATAGTTTGATATTTACCGTTTTAGCAACTTTTTTCTGTACTACTCCTACTACTTTTTACTGCGTGGTAAGTACTAGTATGTCGAAATCTTCGCGGTGCGGCGCCGCACCGTTGCCGCAACGCGTCGTGTGCTTTGGCTCTAAGGGTATAGTTTTATAGGTAATATTCATTAAGCCTTAGACACTACGGGTCAAAGGGGCACATGAGACGGAACTTTGAATTAATTTGAGTTCCTACAACAGCATGTTAGGGGACATACAGTTTTGACTTTGTTCAGAGAGTTTAAAGTACTTGTTCCCAACAAGTCACACCCAAACGAGTAACCCTGTTAATTGGTGGTGAATTTTAATAGTTAATTCCCTGGTGGGAAATTTTTCCAAACGAGTAACCCTGCCACTGTTGGGAAAAACTCGTTAACCTGCATTTTCTTTAGATTACTTAATTATTTTGATTTTTTATGTATTTTATACCCGTTGGGATATTTTTTCCCAATGGGTTACATGAGGACTTTGTTTAGTGATTTTGAAGATATTAACGATGACTAAAGCCCGGTTTCTGAATTAAGATTTTTAGCTTGAGCGAACTTATTTGCTTCTCAATACGTGAGAGCAAAAATGACTATAAGTAGCTAACATTTTGTCACATTTTGACAAATTAATATTGATTTTACTGTGATAAAGAAAACATCCATTAAATAAAAAGATGTATCACATTATATGGATAAAAACACTTGCCCCGTGTCAACTTCTGTGTTACCCACATTTATTTCTTTAAGAATAAACTGTGCTACTAAATATTTATCACGGTAAACAACGTTATCTACAATCTAATTAATACAATATTCAATGTAGGATGAGCCGCCAAAGAAAGGGGAATCCCCTGAAATTGCATCGACGGGATAAAACTCGGGATAAATATGTTGCAGAGAGTGCCCTGAGCCGTTGTAGAGTGCCCCGGTTATCTGGACGATGTATACTACATACTAATGCAATTCTGAGCTATTGTTTAGCTTTATATTATATTTTCAATGATTTAAATTAGTTTAAAAAAATAATGTTTTGTTATTTTGGTTGCTACAGTCAACTTGGGTAACTTTGAATTTCAGGGTTGTTTCAATTATGAACTTGTTCATTATTTAAAGTTGAACTGAAATTCAAAAAAGCTTAAATTTCTGTAAATCCATGTAATTTTGGAAGATTATTGCACAATTGCATATTTTTTTTACGTTACCCTTTTGCAATGGCATTCAATGCGTTTCAAGCACAGAAAAAATGTTTTGTTGTCATTTATGTATACCTACCTACTTTAAAATAAAGAATTCAGGTCATGTCCATTAGGTGACTAAGCGACGTCCATTTTGTGACAAAACGACGTCCATTTTGTGACAAAACGACTTCACTGTTTGTAAATTATTCCCCAATGAACTGTCGTACAATAATTGTTACTTTCTAGAACATTTATTTATATCTCAATATACTATAATGTTTTACAATATTTAAAGGCTGTTTTTCTTTTCAGACGTCGACTGTTCAGAAGAGAAGGTGTCAATAATGCTAAATGGGGAAGAATCAGAATTATATTTCGTTAACTGCACTAGTTCAAAGGTATGTTTTTATTTTACTCCTATAATATGTAGTTATAAGTTCTCTAAACATATTAACAGTTATGGACGTCTTGGAAATCAAAATTTTTACTGTGAATGAAAAATTCCCATAGTTCCCAGTAATTGCGAACAAAATTTTAAAAGAGTGAATAGGCACTTACAGGGCAAATATGTACCATCCTAGATTGCATGTTACTTAACACCATGTGCAATTACGGTCAAATACCTGCCTGACTTGCATTAAAAAAAGATTTATTTATGTGTTGTGGCACATTACTAGTCATTTAAAAATGCTGTTTAAATAATAATAATTAATATTTTAATAAACTTTATTTTACCACACAGGAAGAAATCGAGCGAAGCGAACCGCCTGACGCGTTCGTGGTGATCTACTCAGTGGTGGACAAGGCATCCTTCCAGAAGGCTGAGCAGGAGCTGGCCCGGCTACTGGACTGCGACATGCTGCGAGCCCGGCCGGCGCTTCTGGTGGCCAATAAGATAGATTTGGCGAGGAGCAGAGCTGTGTCTACACAAGGTATGAAGACCTAGGCATCTTAACTACGAAGAGACCTTTGGACTTGATAACTACTCTTATAGGAGGAGGAGCAGGAGCTGAGTCTCGAATGTATACAAAGCGTTCTTCTGGAAAACAAGCAGGAAGGTAGGTCAATCTACACAAAGAATCAAACCTTCTCTTACAATTATTAGCAACGGGTCTATCAGCGGTGATCAATGTGTCCTTCCAAAAGGTATAACTGGCTCTCAGTGGTGGACAAGGCATCCTTCCAGAAGGCAGAGCAGGAGCTGGCCCGGCTACTGGACTGCGACATGCTGCGAGCCCGGCCGGCGCTTCTGGTGGCCAATAAGATAGATTTGGCGAGGAGCAGAGCTGTGTCTACACAAGGTATGAAAACCTAGGCTTGTTAATCCACTCAGTAGAAGCCAAGACGTCAAAAGAACATGAAGAGCTAGCTCTCCTAGTAATAGAAAAGGCTTCCTCCTAGAAAGCAAAGCAGGGGTTGGTTTTTAGTTGAAGACAAGACCTCTTTCTAGAAGGTAGGCAGGTAGACCAGAAGCAGGCGGGTGTCTACACAAAGTATCAAACATTCATGTAGAATTGTTCAGTACGGGTCTATTAAGTGGTAGATGAAGCGACATTATAGAAGGCAGAACAGGGCCTATCTTTTAGTGGTGGACAAGGCATCCTTCCAGAAGGCAGAGCAGGAGCTGGCCCGGCTACTGGACTGCGACATGCTGCGGGCCCGGCCGGCGCTGCTGGTGGCCAATAAGATTGACCTGGCGAGGAGCAGGGCTGTGTCTACACAAGGTATAAAGAGCCTGTTTACTAAGGGTCTACTTAATGGGAGCCAAGGCATCCTTCCAAAAATCCAACAGGATCTGGCTTCCCAGTGATAGACAAGGCTTTCTTCTAGAAGGTAAAGTAGGAGCTAGCTTTTAGTGGTAAACAGAACGTCTTTTTAGAAGGAGCAGGAATTTGTGCTCAGTGGTAGACAGAGCTTCCTTCTAGAAGGCAGGCAGGTCAGGAGCAGGCAGGTGTCTACACAAAGTATCAAACATTCACCTTTACGTGCCTTGGTTCTATTCTCCCCCGAAGATTCTTTCCTTCAAAGTAAACCCTTCGGGGAACTACTACGAGTATATCAGATTTTTAGGCGGCGACTATAACAATTTAGTCATATTTATTTGATTAGTCTATAAATAAAGTAAAACTAGCGGCCGCCCGCGACTTCGTACGCGTGGATCCCGTTTTCCCCTTAGAGGTGGAGTTTCGTAAAATCCTTTCTTAGCGGATGCCTACGTCATAACATCTACCTGCATGCCATATTTCAGCCCAATCGGTTTGGGCTGTGCGTTGATAGATCACTATGTCAGTCAGTCAGTCAGTCACCTTTGTTATACATATACATAAGTATATTTAGATGGTCATGGGAGATACGTACCCAAAACGTACCTCATAAACAAATCAAATGAAACTTGTACAATCTCGTCACACATCCAAAAGCAATTTCGGGCAAAGAAAATTAGTAATATCTCCCCGTCCTGGGAAATCACACCGCTCACATAATGGCGGCTAATGAACCGACAAAATGGCGCTCGCATTGCGATGCTGGTACTGACGGAATTATGTCGCAACGGGCAACTTGCAAATTGGGAAAACTTGAGTTACTACGTTCTGCGACTTGAACCTTGGAGACAAAGATTGGTCTAGTTTTATTGAACTTTGTTTAAATAAACTTTGAACGTTTTACGCTGCGTCATCTAAGTAGTAAACTAAGCAAAACTAAACTTATTTTGAAGTATTTCTTGTTTATTATTGTTCCTTTTTTTAATTAAGTGAGCTAAAATAATCCTACCTACTCTCAGTTTTTATGAAGTCATAAAGTATTTTATTTTTATGGCAATTAAGCTTTAAAAAGGCACTTTTAAATGTCCCAAGTAAAACCACTGCTTTATGACAATGCAATGCAAAAAAAATCAGTCACTATTTACCATATACCAGAATCATGGGACAAATTAATAACGATACAGTTTCTACTCTAATAATTAATATTAAACTCCATACTAAATAAATTATGTTACCTACATTTAACATTGTTCATTATCCCCTATTATTTCCGAAACGATGTACCTAATTCCAACGGTGACGTCACTGGCCACTGTTCCCTAATGTCACACAAATTGCTTTTGGATAATGTGACGTCATACCGAAGCTCTCGGATTACACGGTAATCAGGGATTTGTTGAGTATAACTAGGGCTGCCACCAAGAAATAGCCGTAGGGGATCAAATAATAAAATATCGAAGTACGAGTATGATCTCGTTCTTGATAAAGAACGTTATTAAAAGACAATAAATGTCAAGTGTCGTTACATCGGCCCAATTGGTAGCTAGTGTTTTATGGAGTTCCTTTTAATAAAACATTAATTTTATTTGTATGTGTTTTACTAACTGTATGTACTTTTGGCGATCACTCACACAAATGCAATTCTCAGCTTAAGTTGATAGGACTGTACTCGCTTGTTAAAGTAGATTTGACATAAAATAAGTACCACATCAAAACTTGTATACGCACTTTACGACACTTTGCTACAATTAAAAGTAAATCAAACAACATTACGAACTCTTAAAAGAAACTCTGAAACTCAGAAAACTTTTAAAATAGGTAATATTCTCTGTCTCAAGTGAGAAATGAACCCGTGACGTTATCTAAGCAAGGATTAGTTACTCGCCAAACACAATGTATCTTAAAGAAATATTTCAATACATTTCTTGTCTTAAATTATTTCCAAAACTTGCTATTCTCGCCGATGGCGGCCCTAAATATAACTAACAGCCAATCAGAAGAGCCATGTTGAAGTGAAATTGGCATTTTATAGGGCTAATGTAAGCTGAAGCCGGAATAATAGCTTTGAATTTTAAGCCGCCTGAGAATTCATAGAAACTGGCGTTATTAATAACATTACGATTTAGGTACAATACACGTGGAAAATTTCATTCAACCTGGAATGAAAAACAACATGAACTAGAACATTTTAATGAGATGGATTAAGTTAATTGATTTAACCTAGGTGTAGAGTACTAATACAGCTGCTGTATAAATTACTGACGTGGCTTACATTATTGCAACCAAATCTAAGCGAAATACCACTCATTGATTAATCACGATATATCAGAAACTATAACTAGGGTGTAGACATCCGCTATAAGAACGGGTATTACGAAACTCCACTCCTAAGGAGGTAAAACTGGGTCCAAGTTTATGAGGTCGCTGGCTGCCGCTAGTTTTGTATAAGTATGCGACCAAGCTTAAGTACAAATAATATAAATTGATCGATTCCTCGATTTATGAACAATCCCAAGTTCCCAAACACAAAAGTAACCTCACCTTTTGTTACAGACGGCAAATGCCTCGCCTGCACCTACAAAGCGAAATTCATCGAGGTCTCCGTGGGCATCAACCACAATGTAGACGAACTCCTCGTCGGAATCCTGAACCAGATCAGACTGAAGAGGCAGCAGTACGCAGAAGGAGGCAGGGAATCCTCCCCAGCCCACTGGTACAAATCCAGGGGCGTAGTCCGAGCAAGTATGAAGGCCAGACAGATGCTGACCTGGATCTTCGGCAAAGAAGACTCCAAGTTCAAGAACTGTGAAAACTTAAACGTACTGTGAGTGGAACAGGACGGACCCGTGTTCGTCTAATTGACTGTTGCCAGTGACGTGTTCCGAGGAGTGACGGGCCGTTGCGGTTTTGTAGTATATTGTGACGTCATAGAATACTTGGTCTCCATCATCTAGATTCAGATGGGAGTACTTTCGTTATTCGTTATTTAACGCAAAAGGATACGGTATAGGTACATGTATCGTCCCTATTTTTAGGTTACAGTCGTATCGCATTAAGTTTAATATATCCGTTTTCAGGTTACAAAGTCAAACCGCAAAATATTGCCTTATTGCTAAGACGGGCATAGTGCAATCCATACTGTAATAACTTACAGCCTAAATATTGCATCAAAGTTTTCTCGTTCATCACTTTTACATCATCAAGGTATACCAATTAAGTTCAGTCAGAAAATTGAAGTATCTAACTACAAGTGTTATTAGAAAAAGTACGATACTCAGCAAACACGACACTACACAGTCTTTTACAGTCTTCGGCTACTACCACATTGGCTAAGTCACAAAATATGTAGTAAAAGGTCAAAAGTAAATGACGGCATAAAAAGCTTAACACTATGTCATCTTATGTAGTTGCTAGAAGTGCGATTTTACAATGGCAATTTATAGCCAGCTAAACTGAACTCTACATTCGTACTTTTCCCTCTGATTGAAAACGACTATTTACTTTCAGATGCCATCAGAATTGAATTGCTAAACAAACACATCCCAATCTCGAAGACTCTTTATTTTCCTGATTCCGTGGTTTGTTTGCAATTGTATCCATTCAAATAAATGGTTTCAGACAGCAATATCTTTTTAACTGAAAACTGTTTGGACTGAGCAAAGTACCCAGACTGAAAGAGAGCTTGAAGTACAACAAAATACATTAGGTACTTCAAGTTTTTTAAGCGATAACGCTGCCCATTTCAAGAAATCGTTGTACCTAACTGAATTACTTTGGAAACTCTTGTAAAAAAGGTAGGTAAATTAGGCGCTAAATACACCTGACTGAAAGAGTGTAAAGTACCCAGACAAAATACATAACATCTAGATTTTTAGCGATAAGACCACCCATTTCCAGAAATATTTATACCACTGAATTAGTTAATTTAGTAAAACTTTTGAAAAAAGATAATCTAATGACGATAATCAAGTATTTTTTAAATCTAAGTACGTTTTATATACTACAAAATACGGAATACGGAACCCAAGAGTAAGTGTTAATCATAAGGGTCTTAGGGTATCGCTGTGCTGCTATTGATATTTATTATAATTATAAATATAATTATTAAGCCAAAGAATAACTTGGTATTTATCAATGTTACATCATTATGTGCCAATTTTGAGAGAATTTAACATACGTAAATATAAGTTAGTTATACGTTTAGAATAACATAGAGTTAAGTGAAATTGTATTTTCCCGAAAATAATATTATCATTGAATCGACGTATCAGCAATATTAATATCTATATTAATCTAGTAGATTTACTGTAGGCACTTTATATAACATGTTTAATTGGACCATTTGTATAATATAATATGTATATCGAATACTTTATATCTGTATTATAATATGCTAAAGCTGTAATAATAGTTAATATTTACACTAAAAGCTCTGCACAATGTTAGGTTCTGTTCATTAATAACATTATTTATTGAATCAAGATAATAATAAAGCCCGTAGCTTTTTCCTTCTGCTAAACCTACAAACAATTACAGATTATACTTACATATAGAACGGGAATGAAAATTATACTGCACAATTAAATAGCAAAAATATAATAGGACCATTATATTATACATATAAGATCTATATCCATTTAATCCTATCTATTATAAAATGTCTCGTACAAGCAAATTGAATACCTCCCTGTAATAATAGGTATCTTTATAATATGTGTTTTATCATCCTACCTTATTGGGGCCACACCTATTGGAGCATTATAGATTAATCTTCGTTACACACACGCGTTTAATAAAGCTCTACAATTTCTGTAAATATTGAAAGGTCGTCGGTTTAAGTAAATCTGTGACTTTAAATATGGCATCCGTTATATATTCAATAACGCAATCGCTACGTTCTTATACACTGTGAGTCACGATAAAGTGTACATAAGAAATAAGGTGAAACCTTAGTCCTGTAATATCCTGATAAAATAAAAACAGTAGTAATGCGAAATAACAGACAATATTAAAAAAATACATAAACTACTCAGAAAATGCCAACAAATAATAAAACATTATACTTTTTGAAAAAAATCTGCTTTTTAATTCGTGTTTTTTTGGTTATTTGATACAAAAGTAATACTTACCTACGTGACTCTATCGATTTGATAACGAATGTCAAATTGTTTAAAGGCCTGAATATTTTTATTTTGTTAAAAAAACATAGGTCTAGTACCAAACATACATTTACTATCCAATTTCATTCTCTTACATCTATTGTATTAACTTTCTTTTATTACTTAAAGTATAAGAATATTCTAACTGACTGACCTTCTCTATTTTACAGACTAAAATTTCTAGTTCTTGGCCCTCAACATTTTCTATGCTTTTGAAATCTAAATAAGGTATTCTTATCCTTTCTTACCTAATAATTTCCCCTAATTAGTTTATTAATACCTCAGTGCCTCCCCCTTATTACATTTACACCAATTAATTAAGTAATTATATCCTTAAAACTAATCAGTATAAATCGGAATTATTCACTCGTATATAATTAAGATTGTAAGTGGAAAAATTGTATATAAAAGATGCGCGTGCACTTACGGATTTGATGTGGTATTTAAACTTGTATAATAGAATAGTATAATGTTAATAATTTAAGTGATATTTTATACTTAATGTTGGGTTTTGTCGTTTTGTGTTTGATTGTGCATTATACGATTAATGGTAAAATTTGTTGAGAATCCATGTGTAAAGTTTCAGTTTATTTAGTTGTATAAATATAAATAATCAAAATGCCTATTACAGAATTTTCTGTATAACAATGACTGTTGAATCTTTGGACTTTTGAATTGAATAGATTACAGTAAATATTCAACTACAAATTTTGAAATTATTCCTGAAAAACTTATAACCTCTAATGAAAGACCAACTCAATCTATTGTAATACCTAGTCCTTAAATGTTACCCCATATTCAAAACAATGTTATATTTCCTATATCTTTACTGTACCAAGTTCGTCTTTTGTATGCCATTATTATTGTAATCCTATAATATTGTTATTAACCCTTTGAATTTCGATTCAAGCCAGTGCCTTTTATTGTTAACGTTGTATTATATCAATGTGTACTTCGGTTAGTTGTTTACTGAGAATTCTAGGTAAATTGTATACATTTATAGGGGCATTCAATTTCTTAATATTGCAGAAGACATTTATTAACAAGTGTTAGTATTAAACCTTTGTTTGTCAGCTGTCATCCGCTTTGCAATGGAGGAAAGTCGAACCTTAATTTCGAACTCTCATGTTCTTCTGATTAATTTCGTTGCGGGTCCGATGACAGTTTAACTTTCCCCCGGGACAAAGTTGACCTTCATTGGTTGGGTTTTTATGGCGGTCAAGCTGTATATCCTGGCTACACAGGAGTTGCAGTGGTGGGAAAGAGTGGTGGGAATAGTCCCGAGAAAGTGTTAGCATCAAATTAAAAAGAAAGGGTTATTTAATTATACTTGTAATCTTACTTGAAATCTATACAGTTTACAGTCACACGTAAATGAAGAAAATATTAATAAATTGAATGCACTTTAAACCCGTTAATTTCTCATTAAAATTGTGCTCGTTTTTATTATCCTCATTTGATGAGCAAAGCTATCATAGTTATACTATAGTCTGTAAGTTGATATATTATAGTTTGTAGATAGTTTTTGTTATTTCGACATTTCTGCTCCCAAACGGACGGATAAGTGTAAGCGACTAAAGTTTAGAAAAACAGTAAAATAAAGTACTTACATCAAGTGACTTAAACTTTAGAAAAACCAATAAACAGAAGTAGGTAACTAAAACCAAGTTGAAACAAAGATATTTCTACTATTTTCTAACTTCATAAAACAATTCTAAAGCCCAACACTCGAAGTAAAAGTTCCGTAGACTTTCGGAGGCGAACTACGACGTAGTTTCTGTAGCATACTACGAAGCGCCGTAGCTGCTACGAGAAAATCAACCTTTGAGTTCATTTTCATACGAGATTCTATTCATAAACGAGTAATTGAAAATCGGAATATGTGAAGGTTTGTAGTAACTTTTCTCGAAAATGCTTTAATTAGGGTTCCGTAGTCCTGACAAGGAACCCTTATAGTTTCGATATGTCTGTCTGTCTGTCCGAGATTTTGCTTGGAAACTATTGGCACTAGAGAGCTGGAATTTTGTGGAGGTATGTATATTAATCACGCCGACAAAACGGTAGAATAAAATTTTGAAATAAAACGTTTTTGAAACTGCATTATAGCCTTCAATCACACGGTAAAATTTATTCTTGCGTGACCTTATAGACCAATTTAAAGATAAAAAGTAGTTTTTGTAAGTACTATTATACCTATGCTATACGAGTACCTATATCAGCAAAAGAAGGTTTTCTGAATTTTCTATAAAACCAGTTACTTCATACAAATTAATCTTTTTAGTATCTACTTTTTATGGGACCGATTACATGGATTCCAAATAGCATTTCCGCTTATCCGTCTGTTGTTAAGGGGCAGATTTGCCATAAAGCATTTTTACGAGCTTGCGTCGCGAAAGCCTTTAGTGTGTGATGGTGTCGATAGGTTCAATGATAAACCAATGGACTGTAACACCATAAAAGTGTTTCGAACCCCATAGAAAAATCAAAGCCAGACTATATTGAAAACATAGTTATTTCTAGTTTTTTTAAAAACTACTATGTACCTTTTGATTTTAGAATAGCGACAACACAGTCAAAAGCTTTTAAATATACTATTTCCTTACTTTTATGCGAGTTTACATCAATTCATTCACCTTTTATGAAAATAACTCATGGCCCTTAAATCAACGTACCATTAACAATTTTCTATGGATCTTAAATACAAGTTTATAAAGTTCAAAATAGCGTGCGAACATTTGCCATTTGCATTGAGGGTTAACAAAATGTCAAAGCCGCATCTGCTTTGAA